AGAGAGAGAGAGAGAGAGAGAGAGAGAGAGAGAGAGAGAGAGAGAGAGAGAGAGAGAGAGAGAGAGAGAGAGAGGGTGAAACAAAGAGATGTGGCTTTAATTAAAACAATAGTACCTTTTGTCGGTTTGGAAAATAGTGGGCCTCTGACTTTTCAGGAGACGGAAACGAAACGACGGCCGCCAAATCAGATTTATCAACGGCAGCCGTTGTCGGGCCCGGTCTCCTAAAAGTTCAGGACTAGGCTAAAACTTGTCGAAACTGGACGGCAAAGGTACTAGTGGTTTAAGGCATAGGAGAAGTCAAGGGAAGGGGGAGGAGGGACAGCGGTGCTCTGCAGGGGTGCAGTTAAATCTGGTTCATCTGGATAGGAAAAGGTGGACATGGTCAGCCTGGTGAGGGAGGGGGAGGGGGAAAGGTAGAGTGAAACGTAGGCTGGGACTGTTCACACAGTGCGCCTAGCAATCAGTTCACCTCTCTCAGAAGGTCTTGCAAAGTGAACAGGGGGGAAGGTAGAGTGAAAAGTAGGCTGGCACTGTTCGCATAGCGTGCCTATCAAACAGTTCGCCTCTCTCAGAAGGTTTGGCAAAGTGAACACACTTGGCTCAGTCCTGGTTGTGTAAGTGTTCCATTACGAAAGGGTACCTCAAACTCAAAGAAAGAGGGACCGAAAAAAAAAAAAGGAGTTTTTCGCTTTGCCCCCCTCCCCATGCGTTCGGAGTGGAGACTGCTCGGGCTTTATATAAGACAGAGAAGAAAGAGGCGACCACTGAAAAACCAAAGGTTAATCGCACCAGAATTTTCCTGGTCCCTCTGATCTGCAGAGAGTGGGAGGGAGGGCCACAGTACTGTTGTGTGTTCGGTTGATCCACAACTCAAAACGACAGTCAAATGTTCCCATACACGTCTGCAATGACAGGCAGACTGGAGAGAGAGCAGATTCAGACCATAGCCATGGAGAGATTGCACAACGGAAGCCAAAACCAGATATAAAAATTGGGAGAAAAATGTTGCAATCAATTATTTATTAACCCCCCTGCACTCCTTCTCCCAATCGAATATATATATATATATATACACTCGCGTCCTATGTTCCGACATCTTGCCGAATCCACCCCCCTTTCATCCCTTTCTGTGCTTGGCCGCAGACGGCTGCGCTCCTCGCCACCCCCATCTCCTCCACGGTCTCAGTTGAGAACCGATTCTCCGGTTTCTATTCTTCCCATTGTTCCRCCTTCATTGCCAGTGACATCTTCTGTTAGAAACATCGCCACTCCTCTTATTGTGTATCATCGTCGACGACATGCACAACATCGCCACTTGGCCAGGGATCAGCGGCCTGCTTCTTTGTCTACCCCAATTCTCTATGTGCCTCCTCCATGGGTTGTTGCGGTTCCGTTGTCCCAAATGGATACATCCGCTCCTATGCCTCCTGCAGACAGTCCAGCTGCTTGCACACAGCCACAGCACCATGTTTTATGCCCTTCCATGTTCGTTTGTCCCCCAGCTGTGCAACAGGATATGGTCCCTGTCCAGAGTACACTCCCAACGACAGTCCCTACTCACGATGTGGCCCCGAACGCTGAGGGCCTGGGACATGATCAGCTCGGACTGCATTTAACCCCGCAAGGCATAGAGCACACGGGAGATTTGCAAATGGCTGACCAGGATCATATGGATGAATCGCGTACTTGTGCCCCACCCTGTGTGGCCCCGAACGCTGAGGGACTGGAACATGATCTGCTTGGACTGCATTTAATCCCGCATGGCGTAGACCCCACGAGGGATTTGCAAATGGCTGACCAGGATCATATGGATGAACCGCATACTTGTGCACCACCCTGCGCAGACCCCACGGGTGATCTACCAATGACTGACCAACAACATCAGCCTGAGATCCCCGCCAATCTCTGTGGWCTGACTGCAACTAATAGCTGCCTTCGCGTTCTCAATCGGCCGTTGTATACACCATCRGATTTCCTTGCAATTGCCCTGCAGCTTGATGTTGATCTGGCTAATCTTGCTGATCCCCCCGACCTACAGCCAGAGCATCGTAATTACACCAGGGAAGGAGGTTTTACCATTGCTGTCCTAGAAATAGCGATGAGGAAC